CTGTCTCAATGGTCTTGACCAAACTTTGGACGTCCCCTTGACCCTGGTTCAGGCCTTGCCCAGCCAGAGGGTGGATGGTGTGTGCCGCGTCGCCAACGAGGGCAATTCGCTCGGCGGTATAAGTGTCTGCGTGCCGCATCTTGAGCGGGAAAGAGGCAACGGTGCCCTCCTGGACACCAACGACCTGCTGAGGGATGGCCCTGTGGTCGAAAGGAGTATGCTCAAGTCTCCAGGCAAGCTCCTCAGACTGACCAGATTCCTGCTTGTGCATAAACTCCAGGTCGACAGGGCTCAGTCGGAAGGCAGCATTGACCATGGAGATGAAGTCTTTCGGCGAGAGGCTCTTCAAGAGCGCGGCGTTGGCAGGTGTTGTTGACCATACCAGCGTCGAGTAGTTGCCAGGCATCGGCAACATTGCCACAGGGCCAGTGGGCAAGAAGCGCTGGTACGCGATCTTGTTGTGTTCCCCGCCCCATCCCTCCCCTTCCAGCTGAAGCGTCGCGACAACGCCATGTCTGCCGTAATCCCATCCCTGCGCCTTGATACCGGCAAAGGCCCTCACTGGGCTGTTTGCGCCGTCAGCTCCGACCAGCAGTCTTGCATGCAGCTGCTTTCCACCTGATAAGTGAACAACAGGCCACTGCGTCAGGTCCAAGTCTTCCGTTTCCTCCCCGAAGCTGATGCTCTCGACCTTTGCGTTGTCGAATACCGAGACTCCACCGAGCTCCCCCAGACGACTCAAGAGACCAGAGGTCAAGTTGAGGTTCTCGCACATGTATGCGATTGTCTTGCCGGGCGCCGAACCCGCCGGCCAGTCGAATTCGATTCTCACGCCACTAACACCGTCCCAAACCTGCATTTCATTGTAGTCTTGGACACGGTCGCGCTTGATGTGGCTCCAGGCTCCAATTGTGTTGAGGTATTGTGCTGAGGTCGGGGTGAGGGAGCTGCATCGATTCGAGAACTTGTCGGCCGGGAGATTCCACGCGCGAATCTTGGAGAGATCTTGAGCTTCGACGAGTGCTACTCTGAGACGGGATGTGACTGGGTTAGCCCCTAGAGCATGTTAGTCCCTCTCTATGTACCCAAATAATGTCGATTGTAGCATACGGAGAGCGCTCAAGAGACTCAAGCCTGCCGGTCCACCTCCCACGCAAACGACATCATAGATGTCTGGCTCGGATGCTGAGGATGTTCCGCCTACACTTGCATAGGATCGGCGGGCCTGAGTCTGGATTTTACGTGTGCAAGACCTGCAGACCGAACGGTTTGTGGCCAAGAGGACTCTGGTGGTCGCCATGTTGTCTGAGCTGTCAAGAGGCGGGTTCCTGAGCGGTTCGCTGGGATTGGCATCACATGGAACGAACCATCAGTCGAAATGATGGTCAAGCTACAGTAGAGATAATTCGCCACACCCAGCCACATGTCTGCTGAAGCTTGAGTGTGGCTGAGACAGGACCCCTCGAGTCCGTGCTTACTCTCCCCCCCCCCCCCTGCTCTTCCCTGGGAGTCTTGAAGGAATGGAAACTTTGAAAGGCATACCCCCTGTCACTTTTCCCTAGTCGCCCCCCACACTAGTTGTTTTTTTCCACATGACCTTTGCTGTTGCCACAGCACCCAGAAGTGACAGGGTGCTCCTGCTTGTTGCGTCAGTGGGCTCCCGCCCGTGTCTTTCATCCATCCCGTCCGACGTTATCAACATCTGTCCACTGGGCGCATCCTTTGCACAACTTGCACCTTACACCCCATCGCTCAGACCTTGGTGCACCTGCCACGGCCGCAGAAAGCAAGGCCCAAATCCTCTGTGCGACTTCACTTTGTATGCGCCGGTCACTCCTTCCTTGCCTGCTCTATCCCTCAAGGTTTCATACTGGAGGGCTACAAAGGCTGCCTTGTGAGCTTCCTTTGACGTCTTGTCGCAAAGTGTCCGAGCTCTGATACCGTCATTCAGCACCAGCCTTTCTTTGATTGCAACCTCTGAGTTTCTTTGCTTATACTCTCTGCTTTCTCATTTGCAAACAACCAATTTTCGACAGCAACTCCAACTGCTTCAACATGGACGACTATGAATACCTTCAGCCTGGGTTCGACCCTAAATCGCTGACAGTGCCTCGGCTCCGCTCGATCCTCGTCGCACACGACATCCAGTACCCCGCGACAGCCAAAAAGCCTCAGCTCATCCAGCTGTTCGAAGACCAGGTTGTGCCTCAAGCCAAAAAGATCTTGGCGAAACAAGCCAAGGCCAAAAGATCAAGCTACGGCATTGTCGACGCTGGGAGCTCTCAGGACACTGACGACTTCGATAACGACTACGACCTTGCTCCTCCCCCGCCGAGGGTGACGAGATCGAGATCGCCGCGCAAAGCATCTACTCGGATCAGAAGCGAGGAATATGAGCAAGAAGCGCCGGCTCCAGTCAGCCCGACGAAGCGTAAGGTCCGAGCTGCAAGTCGACAATTGCCAGAGCCTGAACCTGAACCTTATGTCGAGCCTTACACCGAGCCTGAGCCGCCCAAGTCTGTTCGCAAGCGAGCTGTCACTCCCAAGATTCCGAAGATCAAGCAGGAAGAATCCGAGGAGGAGTTCTTCAACCGTAGAGAGTCACAGTACTTCTCTACAGAGAACCCTTTCCAGAGCGGGAGCCCAGCAACGCAGCTCATCACCAGTCCCAACGGACGAAGAAAGACCACTGGCCTGGATTTCGCAAAGGGCAAACTTGAGAGTAGTCCTCGCCGACGAACGGATGGCCACTACGCCGAGGATCGCCCCAAATCGTCGAGAAAGTCTCACGCGTTCGAGGTTCCTGTCAGCGATCTTCTTCGCGAGCAAACACCCGAACCCCAAGATTTTGAGGTTGAGGCTGGAGAAGAGTTCACTCCCGATGCACAGTTCGAGATGGAACAAGAGATGGCTGCCGGTGGTGAAAGAGCTTTAGCCCCGCGGCCTACGTCGCCTCCACGTCCGAGACGTAGTCTCTCCAAACCTCTTTGGGCTCTTGCGATCTCCCTATTCGGAGCGTACGGAGCCTGGTATCGACAGGAGAAGGTTGCTGTTGGCTACTGTGGACTTGGTCGACCTGCCACGCAAATCATCCCTCCTGAGGTCGCAGTTCCCGACTGGGCAGTGCAGCTTGCAGAGCCCCAGTGCGAGCCTTGCCCACAACACGCTTACTGCTACGAAGATTTCACTGTTCGCTGCGAGCCTGACTTCATTTTGAAGCCTCATCCCCTGGCTCTGGGCGGTTTGGTTCCCCTTCCACCCACATGTGAGCCGGATGGCGAAAAGGTCAGAAGAGTGAAGGCTGTAGCGGACAAGGCGGTCGAGGAACTTCGGGAGCGCCGCGCGCAATTCGAATGTGGAGATTCAACTCTAGATGCTGGTCAGGCGCCAGCGTCCCCATCCATCGCAGAAGAGGAGCTGAGGGCTGCGATTAGTGCAAAGCGGAGCAAGAAGATGAACAAGCAGGAGTTTGACGACCTTTGGGTCGCCGCAATTGGAGAAGTCAAGGGCCGAGAGGAAGTCGAAGTGGCACCGTAAGTTCTCGTACTTCTTTCCTTTGTCAAGGTCTTTTCCAGAATCCCCTTATGCTCTTATGCCAATATCTTCAAATCACCATTCTGACCAGTGTACTAACCAGATCGGATGTGCCCGAAGTAGAAAGGCCAATTCCACCTCAATTTCAGACGCCTACCTCTCGTCTACCTCTCTCGCTCGGCTACCGATCGGCTGCACCCTCAAGCGCTCAGTCAGACTCGGCTTGGCAAGACATCGATTCTCAATTGGATCTGTGATCCTTTTGATCTCGGCCTACTTTTACGTCCGGCGGAAGTACAGGTCTCACAAGGCGACTGTGGCGCAGGTTCCGGCGTTGGTTGATCTTGTGTTGTCAAGATTGGCGACGCAAAAGGAGCTCGGCGAGGAAGATATTGATGACCCTTGGCTCTTCCTCCCGAACCTCCGGGACGACGTGCTCCGTTCGGTGCATTCACTCGGAGAGAGGGATCGTATTTGGCTCAAGGTAAAGGCGGTCGTCGAGCAAAACAGTAATGTGCGGACCAGTCAAAGAGAGGGAAGGAGCGGCGAAGTTGGCCGCGCGTGGGAGTGGATTGGACCGATTGCAGGGGACAGTGCCAGACGGCGCAAGAGCGGACGTATTTCCTATGGAGCGGATGTCAAGACAGAAGATACCCCGGGGACGTCAGAGGATAAGGCTGCTGCTCATTCAAAGTGGGATGAGCCGCGGCCTATCTATTGAGCTGTGTGTGTATACGTGTGTCGATGGAGATTGACTGTCAATCAGTCATCATACCTTTCCTAGGCACCATTCCACGTAATATTTTTCTTTGTTAGAACGGATTTGACGCAATGAGGAGGCTCTAGTTGCTTTTCCCTCGCAATACCTTGCTCAGGAGCTGGGACAGAAAGGCGTTCAGGAATGCTGTACTGAGTACGGATATGAGGGACAGAATCACGGTTCCGTACCATGACACGGTGATGGTTTTCATACCCCGAGATTGAAAATACTTCTTACCTTTTTCATGATTATTCTGGTGATTTTTTTGCGACTGCCGGCCGATTTCGCGCGTGGAAATGTTTAGTCAATTCGTTGCCATCACGTTTTGTGTCGTTGCTATGCTCGGGCGGAGAATGTCGGAGCGATCGGATTTGCGAGCGGAGGTGGTGGTGCAGCCAACACAACTACGGTTAAGGACACCCGGAGACCAAGAAAAAAAGCCTTGGCATCCAACATGCCATCCTAGATAGCTCTGTAGAAACCCTCGAATAAAATGTTGAAGATCGTGAATCAATTGTCGAGTAAAGTAAGCTTTTTCCTAATTAAACACTTACGCGACACATGGGCGGGTGGTAGTCCAGTTTCGTTCTTCTCTCAAGTTCTTTGAATTTGGCTAATGCACAGGGTGTTTATTGACACGCAAGGGGAACAGGACCCCTTGGACAAAGGAAAGCTTCTCGCTCAGACTCTAGTAAGGGTGGGGAATCTATTGGGCCTTGGAGGAGACGATCTCTGTTGCGAAGGATTGAATGTTAGCAAAGAGGCTTGATTGATCATTGGGGTGGAGATCCCGGGAGAGGGTCATCCGATGACGGAGGTTTTTTTGGTGAAGGAAAAGTGAACACGTACTCTCGACATCAGCAATGCTCTGCTGGAGAATCTGCTGGAGGACCTTGGGGTTCTCGAGCTCCTTGGTAACCTTGGCGATGATGGTCTCGGCGAGCTCCTTCTGCTGGCGAGCCTTGACCTGGCCCTCGTAGCGGACCCAGGAGTCGAGGACGGCCTTGGCCTCGGCGGCCAGGGCGGTCTTCTGCTGGTGTTCGTAGGCCTGAGCCTCGAGCTGGGCGGTCTCCTGTGGAGTCAATATGTCAGCTGCTGCTCTGTGATGACTCTTTTGATGGTGCTCTCCAGCTGTGCCCAACTATTCCGTCCGACCGAGCTCGTTCCGAAATAGCCTCCTCATCCATCGATTACATCATAAAGAGTCGTACCTTGGAAACGGCGAAGAGGGACTTGGTGATGTCAACAACGCCAGACATCTGCTGGACGTCCTCGATGCGTCCCTTGACGGCCTGGGTGTGGTCGGCACGGGCGGAGTTGAGGATGCCCTTGATCTTGTCGGCCTGGCCCTGGGCCCACTCGCTGTACATCGGGCCTCCGTACTTGATCAGACCGCCCCAGACGGCGAGCAGGCAGAAGGCGACGACGGTCTCCTCGTTGACGACATAGTACTCGTTGCTAATGGCGTAGACGCTGAGGGCGGCGGACGAGGAGAGGATGGCGGTCTTGGAGAGGAGCGAGTTGCCGGGGAGGGCGTCGACGATGGACTGGGCCTTCTTCTTGGGGTCCTCGGCGGGAACGTTGGAGGCGTTGCGGGCACCGGCGATCGAGGCCGAGATGGCGGGCAGAGTGCGGCGGGCCAGGGTCGGCCTGAGGAGGTTCGCGCCTGTTCGAGAAGGGAGGGGAGAGCCTGCGCGTTAGCCAACACATTTACGTTTGCCCGCTGTCGTCGAGCAAGCCAATTGACACGCCGAAGCTTCGAGGGATGTGTCTGGACGTACCGACAGCGCTTCGAGCCAAGCGGGACGCCATTGTGTGATGATTGGGGGGGTTGCGGGTATTATGGGTTTGAGGTCATTCGGAGCTGCTCGAGGTGAGGTTAGATTTTGTCTACGGGTACCGCTTACTCCCGAGACGGCTATGATCTCGTCACGTGATGTGGCGGATGCGGTGGCTGCGGGAATTTGGGGGGAAGACTTGGGACATGAAGACCGAACGGCGCTTGGGCTTCCAAGTTCCATCCATCCAAGTTGAAGTGGAACCCCGGCGCCTGGAAGTACATTGGTACCTCGATGAAAATTCCCATCTCATCGGGACCCGCTGTAAATTTGAACTCGGTTTTCACGACGACGACTGATATCAACATCTGAAGCTCAGCCCATCATAAAATTAACGCCCAAAAAAAGAAGGTAAAATGCCTGCCAAAATTTCGGGCGATGGCCTGAAGAGGAAACGAGTTCCCATGAAGGAGAAGTCAAAGAAGCGCGCCAAATCGGAATCCGAGTCCGAGTCTGAAGCAGAGAGCGATGAGAGCAACGACCCTCAGGCTGAGATCCTGCTGCTCGAAAATGAGATTTTGGAATCCAAAAAGCACTACAACAACATCACAAAACTGATCCAGATCGCCGGCACTCAAGAGGATGAGCCCGAGGCCGCAACTCTGGCCTGTGTGGCCTTGTGCAGAGTTTTTGTGAGATTGCTCTCGGCGGGAGCATTTGCCTTTAGGCCAGGACAGGCTGAGAAGGAGAAGGTGGTTGTGCAATGGCTGAGAGAGCGGTACCTCGAGTACAAGGGCGTGCTCGCTTCGCTTCTCGAGGAGGAAGATCTGGCGTCGACTGCGTTGACGCTGGCTATGAGGTGTCTCAAGGCCGAAGCTCAGCACTTCACCGAGAAGGAGGAGTATACGTTCCCTCACGCCTTCATTGAGCAAATTGTGAGGGCCCTGTTGGCATCAGACAGTGATGATGTTCGTGTCGAGTTTATCGAGAAATACTTGACAGAATACGACGACATTCGCTTCTTCACACTAAAGGCCGTCAAGTACGTATACAGGAGCTCGAGAGACTTTTTGGATTTACGAAACTGACGACTCACAGGTCCATCGCCGAGAACCCGGGGTCTTTGCCTAAAGAGGAGGTTTTTGATGATGCTTTCGAGCTACTCTCAAACATCGGGGACGTGCCGAAAGAATTAGAAAACTTCTACGCCGAAAAGCCCAAGAAGAAGTCACACAATGTCAACTCTGTGCACCAGCACAAGAAGCAGGGCCAAGACGCCTGGCTGGCGGTTCTGAGGTTGGCGGCGACGAGGGAGCAGCGGAAGCAAATTCTGGACGTCATGTCAAAGGAGATCGCCCCGTGGTTCATCCGCCCAGAGTTGCTCGCCGATTTCCTGACGGATTCCTACGACGCGGGCGGCTCCATCTCGCTGCTTGCGCTTTCTGGTGTCTTTTATCTCATTCAGGAACGCAACCTCGACTATCCGTCATTCTACACCAAGCTCTACTCGCTCCTGGACCGGGACATCCTTCACTCCAAGTACCGCTCGAAATTCTTCCGGTTGATGGACACCTTCCTCAACTCAACCCATTTGCCTGCAGTGCTGGTGGCGAGTTTCATCAAGAGGCTTGCGCGGCTCAGCCTCAACGCTCCCCCGAGCGCCGTCGTCTTCATCGTGCCCTGGATGTACAACATTCTCAAGAGGCACCCTCTGTGCACGTTCATGCTCCACAGGGAAACGAGAGATCCGGCGATCAAGGCTCTCATGGAGACGCAGGGCGTGGAAGACCCGTTCCTGGCAGACGAGGCCGACCCCATGGAGACGCACGCCATCGACAGCTGTCTGTGGGAGATTGTGCAGCTGCAGTCGCACTACCACCCCAACGTGGCGACGATTGCCAAGATCATGTCGGAGCAGTTTACCAAGCAGTCCTACAACATTGAGGACTTCCTCGACCACTCATACAGCAGTGTAAGTTGCCCCCGAGAGACCCCCGATAGACCAATCATAGGAACCTCCGGCTAACAAATGGTATAGTTGCTCGAGGCCGAGATGGGCAAGCAGGTCAGAAAGCCGCCCGTGATTGAGTTCCAGATCCCCAAGAAGGTATTCCTTCCCAACGAGCCGGAGTCCGGGGTCCAAGATAGCCTCGTGGCGAAGCTGTGGAACTTTCAGTAAGGCCCAGTAATAAGAAGGATGAGCATAAGGTGGCAGGAGAGATGCCATCAAGGCCGACAGACGGTATTTCCCTTGTACAAAGAAAAGATTGGTATTCTTGATATCCAGGCGCGGCATGGAGGCATGGATGGTTCTTGAAAAGTTTAGACATCACGGGTAGACGTTATTGCTATCAAAACAAAGGCGCTCATTGGGCTTCAGCATCGTGGAAGTTTCTGTGAGCCGTACTACTTTTTTCCATTATGGAAGTGATATCGCTTGCGACAAGCTAGTGAGCAGTGGCATTTGAATAATTGGCAATCGTGAGTAAATAGCTGACTCAAGCGACTACCGATAATATGCATGAAGGTGCGTATTTCGTGGTTTAGAAACGATCCGATAAAGGTGGCCGAAGAGTAAGGTAAGTCATCCGAAGTTGAAGTTCGTCATGCCTGCTCCAGCTACCTTGGAAAGCTGATGGGTTGACTATCCCTGATTCAGTGTTGACTACCTATCTCCCTCATCTCAATGTCTAATGGTACAGCTTCACAAGCGCGTCATTTCAAAGTCAAACATGCAAGGCCTATTTACAATTTGATGGGTAGGGGTCACGATTTGAGTTTGCAGAAAGTCATGTCGTGCAGTGGAAGCGCGCATTTGGAGATGTCCGCCTTGCCGAGTTTCCGGTCCCTCCAGCATGAATGTTCGATGTGCCGCTTTCCGATGAGGTGGGTGTCCTGGCAGTCGACTTTTGCCATTATCTTAGAGCACGGCAAGTATATCTCGATCTAAATACCTTATTCCCATCTGTCGTTGACCTAGCTCCCGCTGCAGCCATTCCTTCATCCAAGTGGCCACACCTTGAAAGAGTTATTCGATTTCAGACGAATTTTCAGCTCTCGGGCACGCTCACTCATCCTGTCATGAGGTGGTGTGTGATGTACCTGAGTAAGATTTCTCCCACTTCACTTCTTTCCAGTTATCACAGCTCTTGGGGTAATACCCAAGTTACGAAAAGATAGACACATGTGTCTTGCCCGATACAGCGCGAGGATCAGGTACCGTCTTGTAGATGGACCAACCAATGTCGAGAGGAATTCTCGGCGCCCAGACGTGCAAAGCCAAAAAGTCAAGAGGTCGTGTGCCCAATTACCGCAACCGATCGACAGGCTCAGCGGTGAGCCGAGCGGTGGTCGAAGCTCTATGAGGTGTTCGACTGTTAGGTTTAGTCGAGGCACCTAAGGTACTTGCCTATCTACCAGTCGTCGCACGACGGCCTGGAGACTTGTGGAGTGTCATGCGTCAGGGAAGGACGTGGGCAGTCGAGAACACCTGGAGAACAGCGAGCAGAGCATCAAAGTCTCGGTCCACTGTGGAGATGGTGCAGCGACAGCGGATAGCGAACAGCACTGTCCTCGCTGACTGGATGCCCTGTGTTCAAGTGTTGGCTGATGGCTTGGAGGAGTGTGAGGACCTGGAGCTCCGATGCCTGCCCATACCCGTGTGAGGTACCTAATGGAAACAGCCCCAGAAAAGAAGAAAAAGAGGTCGGCCAGACTTTCCAGGCTTTCGGAGGTGGCCGCTGGTTGGCTACATTTCGGGGGGCAAGCTGCTCTCGGACCCCGCAGTGACCAATGGCAAGCGACGGAAGCATCAGGGCGGGGTCTCATCCCAGGTGTGCCGTGCGTCTTTGCTGTGGCAGCTGTGCGTGTGCTGGACGCAGTGGACGGCCGGATCTCCTCAAAGCGGCTTAGCATTTGATGGCTCTCTCTGTCAGTCTCTGGGTCCCAGGTTGCTCCACCTTCCACTGACATCACCGAGAGCAACCAACGGAACGGATGCATCGCTCTATCTCTCAAGTCTGGGCTGTTCCTTAGACTGCTTTTCGCCCTCCTCCCCAATTCCAACACCATCGGCAGACTTTTCTTCCTCAGTCTCAGCCGCCTGATATATGCGCTGCATCGCCTTCGCTAACAGCTTTGCTGCCAATTGCTGCATAGTTTCAATCTCCCGACATCCCTCTACCATCTCTTATCTTCACGTTCGAACAATACAGTGCATTCGATCCGATATTCGCGCTGCCGTTTCTCCAACAGAGCTCGACCCACGTCCACGCTTACGCCCACTCAAAATAGAAAGCAGCTGAAATCTACCCCAGCTCGCCCGCAGTTCGTTTCGTGCTTCACGTGGAAACCGTCCCCAGTCGCCACCAAAACACACCAGGAGTCGTCGACCCACGCCAAAGGTAGTCTGCCGTCTGCAGTCTGCTCGACGCCGACCTGCGGCACCCACCTGGTCCGGTCTCTAGTAGTGGTAGGCACAAGCGCTGCAAGAGACGGTGTGACATATTGCCTCCAACATGTCTGGCAATCCCTTCCAGCCCTTGGCGGCTCATCTACAGACGCCGACGTCCCGGAGACAGTCCAACACTCCCGGATCGAGCTCAACAGCACCGCCCCCGCCAGCGACACCCTCGAGCCATGCGAACGGGAATGACCAGAACGGACAGCAACCGCAGCCCCGTCGGCGAAAGAACCATCGCGGCGGTGCCAAGAAGAAGCGCAATCGGCGCAAGTCATTCGCCGTCCTGGCTGAGGAGTCTCACGACGAAGCTCCGCCCACGGCACCCGAGAGAGACGACTTTTACCGCCAGCGCACGAATTTAAGCAACACGAGCATTGACAGCCAGGAACTCTTGGATCATAGGTGCGTCCTTATGGTCCTTACTGGCAGCTGTGACGAGGTCTAACTTACACAATGCAGAGATCAACCGCAGCCGCTCCGACCTCGCAGGCCTTCTATCATGAACAACTCGGCCCCCTTTCCCGCGACGACGACAACACCACAAACCGGCAGCAGACTTCGCAACGCATACG